ATACGTTTTAGATCATAATTAACGATATCTTGAACAAGTTTGTTGAAAATATCTAAATTTTCATCAAGATATTTTGAATGGTTCATTTTAAAATTAAAAATTCTTTCAAATAAGTACAACTTATTAAGAATAGACTTAAGCAAATATAAATCCTCCAAATTTTGCTAAAGTTCTTTTGTAGAATCAAGTTTTCCAACTTTTCTTAAAACAATGTCAGATAAGTGTAAAATAATTGAAGTGTAAGCAAGTTCATCAAATTCTTCTTTTTGTGCTTAAGTCAAATTTGCATGATATTTGCCATCTATGACTTTTGAAACTTTTTATTGAACCAAAATTCCCTTCATCTTTTGTTGCCAAATTGAAAATTCTCATTTCCCATTGAAAATTCCAACTTCGAAATGTGAAGACATTTTTGAAAAACAAAACAACCAAAGAGCACAAATAGGTCATACAAAGTTATCCTAAGGCCGCAGTATGCACCGTTCTAGATTTTCAGGGTTTCGTGAGATTCATGATTTTAGATCAATGGAATGTTCAAACGGGTTAAGTCTGTGTGTTCTAACAGAATATTAATACAAATGTATGTCAACAAAAATTCAAATTTTCATACAATGCAGTCTCACACAATGACTAAACAATAGTTAAAGCACAAAAAGCAATTACCAACTTGCGATAAAAAATTAACACTTCAAACATAGCAAATAAATCCAAAATTTCTAGCACAAACAATGTTACCCCACACGGTAACCTCAATCATAGTGTCACCTCACACGATGACGCGTTAATGTTGAAATTTAAATTAGGATAAGCCAATATACCATAGCGGACCAATCTGAGTCCATAAATACCGAGAGATGCGAATTTATCACTTTAGAACTACCACTATTCGTCCTAAAGTCTCCGACATTTGCTGAAACCAATCGATCACGATTGAATCTCGAACAAGCGATGAACACGATCATCCAGATTTCGTTATATAACCTAAAACAAAAAACTAACAACACCACAATGTCAGAAAAAATGTTAGCAACAAACTACCTGAACAACTCCGTCGGAAGACGCCTCACGCGCCCGTCGGAGTTCTGCACGTGGTTATCACATGCCTCTGCCACGCGTCGGCCACATAAGAACGCATTTGCCTGAACGTTACATCGGTGGTCTCCGTTTTGCCAAAATCCTTCTGGATCGGTCGAAAATCACTAAAATAGCCTCAAATTTTGGGCAGTTTTACGATCTCTTTTCTATTTCGTTTCAACTGGTTTTCAGGTCATTTTTTGAGCCAAATACACTACCTTGAAGCTCTGATACCAATTATAGCGGAATTGATCTTTGATTTGTGGAATTTGGGCTCATTTTATCTATCTAACCGAAATTAAACACCTTAATTAACGACCCAAGAACCACAACTATTTTCCCATACTTCGGTTGCTATGGTTGCACCCATAAAGGACACAGAGTGACAATGTTATTACAGTCACAAAGACACCTACTCAAGCAGCCACAAAGGTAAAAGGAAGGAGAAAACCAAATGAAATAAACAATGAAGAAGCAGATGGATTCCCTCTTTTAAGGAAGGAAAGATAACACACGTAAACATCACAAAAAGGGCAGCATATATATAGGGTACATTAGGTATAGAGAAAAAAGGTCAAGTCCAAATCAATACATTGGCCAACACTTATAAGACATCCAAGAAGTGGGAAAATGGGCCACGGGCAGCTATAACTAAATTAGACTACCTCCAATAGCCCAAATAGTTCAGGTTTGTGTCATTCCATTGAGGTGTGAATATTTCAATTTATCCAATATCGGTTTAAAATCATCGTCCAAGATTTATTGGGTATCAAAACCTAACATTTATTGCATGAAATATAAGGTGATACGGGCAGAGATTTAGCTTTTCAAATTCCATGCATAATAGGCATGCAAGGAATTGTTCATCACATTCTACATTAAGGGTTAGTTTGACATGTCTTTTGAAAAGTTAAAAATTGTTTCTCTAATTAAAAAGTTACTTTTGAACATGTTTATATTCTGAAAATACTTTGTTTGATTTGAAGAATCTTAGACGAAATTGGCTTAAGGACCCGTTTGACACGACATCTGCTTTTATTTCTAGTTTAGAGCATCTTCAATGATTGTATAATTTTTTTTTGTAAATTAGTATTTCCAAATAACTTTTGCATCCTCATTTTACATTTCGGTGGACCTAAATCCAAATTACACTCCAATAGGAAGATCTAAATTCACTTTTTGTGTCTTGTGAATGGAGAAAAATATGTAGATTTACATAATTTTTTTTATATATTTTCTGTCGAAAAATGTAATTTGCATCTCTCCACTGGAGAGGTTTTCGAACACTTTGGAGATTATTTTACACTATCATTGTAGATGTTCTTATAGAATAGCTTATGGAGGAAGACATCTCGAGCTAATTTTCTCAAAAAACTCTTTTAAACAGACAAAATATTTTCAAAAAATTATTCATATATGGTAAAAAGAAATTTTCAATTTTTTAGAATCAATGCCAAAAGGAACCTAAATTCTTCAAACTACACGTTTCATTTGAGCCCACAAAGCCCTTTCTGGCATGAAATGAATTTGACAAAGCAATAAATCAAATTAAAATCTTGGTGATGGACCCCATTACTTAACTTTCGGTAATCACTTTCTGAGAGTTGTTAAATCAATAGGTGGAAATGGGTCTTAGACATGGCCATCGAGTCGTACTCACTAGAATAACAAGTAAGAGTGTAAAAGTCAATAAAGACTTTATCCATATAGTAAAGTTGTACAAGTCACTTACATATTTGAATATACATTTACACACGTATTAAACGGTACTAAATTCAATCCTCACGAAATATGGGACATACATCTTGACACAGATTTTACACATCTAGATATTTAAAGGGGTCTATTCGTAAGTACGATACTTTTGTTCAACTTCGTCCTACTGACACAATCAATATCCAAACCCTTAAGCGGACGAAAGTAATAAATGAACATGGTCAATGTATAACACACACAAAAGGGTTCGACCCCACCTCGGGTCCATCGACTCTACCGTTCGAGAGTGATGAGGATGATGATGATGCTCATGATATACCGCAAGTTTTGAACCCTCCTCATGATTTTCCATCCTCGAATGTTCCTCGCTCTTTAAGCAGAGGCTTTGCATTTACCAGGGATCACTAGAATCTTTTGGACAGCCTCATTGACTCTCTTAGATCATCAGTTGACAGTCTTGGTTCGTCCAACGGTCAATTTTTAACCATTATTTCTCAGGCACAACGGCTAGTTAGTCGTCCGATTGGTTAAAAATTTTGACGTTTTGATTACTATAAATACCACTTCACTCTACATTTAATACAACACTTTTAAGAGTCTTTATGTGAGATATTCTTGAGTAAAGCTACATTGATTTATCCTTTTCAAATCATTTACTTTGAAAAACTTTTGATTGAATTAACTTTTGAAAATCATTTTACTCATCAAAATCTTTTTCACCTCACACTTGAGCTTCGTTCATTGCTATTTATTAAAGTGTTAGCATATTTCTCTCTTGGTACTTAATTTGATCATATCATTTATTAAGAGAAAAGTTTCAAATTGTAAAAGCACTTTCCTATCAAAATTTGTGGGTCGTGTTGAGATCCCGTAAAACTCAATATTGTATAAAGATCGATGCTCCTTGGTTGTTAGTCACTGGAAGCGTTGTAAAATATTGGATTGCACAATAAGTCAATCAATATAGTGAAAAGACATTGCTTGTACTGAAAAGCTTGGTAATGGAGGATGTAAATCATTGCTTTGAATCAAACCTCCATAATTATATCGTTTATATCATCTCTCTTTCCTTTACTTATTGTATTTGCTATTTGAATTTATCTATTTGATCTTTACTTGTTTGTATTTATATTAATTTTTCGAAAAAAATTTAAATAATCAGATCTGATTATCTTTATAACAATAATTATGCTGGAGGCATAGATGATAGGACGAGTACATTTGAACATATTCTGCATGTCAAGGTCTTTGGTTTAGAAAAATATTTAAAAGAATTTTATTTTCAATTACAACTACTATTTATAATTAGGGGAGGCAAAAACCGACCGAACTCGCTCAAACCGCCCAAACCGAACCAACCCGACCGGGTTGGATTGATTTTTTTATTGTTTTTACACGGGTTGGATGGGTTGACTGTGTATGCTGGTCGGGTAAGAAAACCGAATAAACCCGCCCAACCCAACCCGCCACTTTAAAAAATAATAAAAAAAATAAAAGAAATAAAATGTCTAGAAAAGTAAAAGAAACCTAAAAAGTATGAGTAGATAGTATAACTGTAATTACCTTGGTGTATTTTAGAGGTGGAGCTTATTATTCTTCTCACAAGAAATGTAGTATAAGTTTTTTATGTTATATTAAATGCATTTTGTTATTTGTAGGCTCGGCTAATGAGAATTGAATAAGATAATATATAATTTTATTTATTTACTTACTTACTATTTAATCTGTCTATTCGAATTTAGTATAATAGAAAATTGGATGATCTTAATTTTTGTTGATAAGTCGTTCCAAACCGACCAACCCAACCCGATCGATACTTGATTGTGTTGGGTTGGGTTGGGTTTCAACCTTTACACGGGTTGGGTTGAGTTAAATTTTTTATAAAACCGATCATGTTTGGTTAGGTTTTGGTTGAGGCAAAAATCGACCCAACCCAACCCATGCCCACTCATATATATAATGATAGCAGATCAATAATTAAACTGTTCAAAAATGTGGAAGCAAGCTTGTGTAACCAGGATCTTGGCATTTGAGACTACTTTGGATTGTACTGTACTTTGGATTGTACTGAATCACAAAAAAAAATCAAATAATTGAAAATGAGAATTGAATTTATTATCGAGCATTTGGTCGATGTGAATAGATCATTAGATTGCATCCAATTTATTCATAATATGCAATAAGATAAAATGCCCAGCACCAAATCGAAATTAAAGGCCAAGAGAAAATGGAAATCCAGTTGCCTCTAGCCAACTTCCGCCCGCGATAAATCTCCCAGCAGTAAAAGGTTGGGCCTCGATCGCACTAGTGAGCACCCTGAATCCCCTCCATGTGACCCTGTTTGACGTTCCAGCACCAGCACCAGTATTCTGATACTCGGCATAAAATAGCGTGTTCAGCGCAAAATTGCCATTCCACTCGTACCACCCTGCTGGATGTATAACATTGCTTATATCAGATTGCATAACGACAGTCCTCGAGTATTCCCTCCATGGCCTTCCCAAATACGTTTCAACACTCCCTATAATGGGCTTGAGATCTGAAGTTGCCCCAATCCTACATTTTTGGATAACTATACCAGTGTTCTGGTTTGGATCATCCCTGCCTTGAGCAGTGACCATATTTCTCTGGCCAGAATTGGGACGTCGTGCGTGGATGTCACAATCTTGAATCACGACTGCAGCATTACCGAATATGAAATCGACTGTGCCTGCTACGAGGCAACCAACATAGAATTGACGGAGTGAATGCACGTACAAGGTGTCTTGGTACGCGAGCATGTCGCATCTGTAGAAAGCGGATAAGTCAGCGTTCACCCGGAGTGCGACGGCTTGATGCTTTGATGGCCCTGCGGTATTTTGAAATGTGACATCCCTCGCCAAGAATCCATCACCAACCACAGCTGCACATAAAATAAGACATCATAAGATAACTAATGTTGGTTAAGAAGTATTGGACCCAACACGACTCCGCAATGTAACCACTATTTTTCTTCCTAATATCCAATAGTCCCAATCCCGTGTAATATAAATGCGAAATTCAGAAATACAGTGACACAAAATAACTACACAAGCCATATTGAGTTAGCTGGCAGATTTATTTAGGGAAGAATACTGAACCATTGTCAATTAAGGGGTTAGGTTTATCTAGTCCTTCAATTCTTAGGAAACAACCTTGTCTAAATAACATGATTCGGTCCTGTGGTCCCATTTTCCAACGGGATAAGGCTTCGAAAAAGTATCCATTTAAAAAATGCAGCTTTATTCATAGTAATGAAACAACTTTTTATTTGGGATATTAGTTTTTTTTTTTTCCTTGCCTCAAATAACAAGCTAATATTTTAAATAACAAAATGTCATATATGAAGATTACTGCAGTCGTTGTCTCTGGAGGTGTTTGATGGACATTATTGAAGGAATAAAGTATTTTAAATAGTGATGTGATGGAAAATATGTGATTAAAAAATAAGAAATTTTTTTGAATGTGATGAAAAAAAATTATTTTATTGAAGAATATGTAGTTGAAAATGAGTTTTGAGGGAATGAATTTTAAAAGAATACATTTGATATGTGGTATTCGCGATTGATTATTATACCATCTAACTTTCACGTGACACGAATATTTTTAGGAATTGGTTAACGTCTAAAACCGTAGTCTCGTCCTCCTTCGTAAAAACTCACAAATATAACTAAGTTAAAAATTATAAGACTAACCAACTGTGGCGGAGTTGAAGGTGGTGCTGCCATCGACCACATTCCGACTGGCGGTGATGATGGTGGTACCCCGCCCATCTCCGACGAACATTAAGTTAGTCTTCCTCCTCGGTATTTCCACATTCTCTCTATATGCACCAGCTTTAATCCGAATTATATACCTCCTAGTGCTTCTTTCTGGAGCTGCTTCCACCGCTGCTGAAATTGTCCGGTAATTTCCACTTCCATCGGCCGCCACTGTGACATCAGGCGTCACAGTCGAAGCCTGCAGCAGCCTCCTATCTCCGGCCGACAGCCATTTAGGCCATTCGTGCTCATTTTCCTCTCCAAGCCTCCTCTCCACAAAAGAATCCCCATTTGCAGCCATTTCAGCATCCGTAATGTTCTTAAACATAGCTAGAACATTGCTACATAATCGAAAAACATGCATCTGACCCTTCAAAAGAGCTGAACCGACTTTTTTATCTGCCCCGTCGTGAGAAAACCCGTCGAGACAGCTTTCTTGATTAGTTTGTGCAGCGCTCAACAACGTCTTGAGTTTATCAACATGATCCGACAACGAGTAATTCTTCAAACCGTAGTTTTTCAGTTCACTCTTTGAATCATGAAGCTCGTCCAGTGTGTCGTCTATCATTTCCAGGCAGTCGTGGAGCGCACCCCTCTCGCGTACTGTCAGGGACTTGCGCTTAGCTGCGAGTTTCTTTACGGTGAAGTAATTGTGCCCGACGGTGGTAATGGTGTAGTTGAGAGCAGTCATCAGTACATCTTTGCTGCTCTTTATTCTGCTGGCAGCCTCCGGCATTGCTGCAATGGTGGACAAGCATAATTCTGGGTACAATGTGGCGGCGCAGGTAGATTTCACCACCGCTTGGGCTGCGCTGCCACCACCACCGCCTTTGCTTTTCTGGGATCCAACAACTGCTGCTACTGTAATTGCCACTACTAGTAAAGATGCCAGTGAGAAAAAGAGGAAGATTTTTCTCTTCTTGTGATGCTTGTTCTCATCAGAATGCATATTTTTGTACTCCACCATTTTTTTGCAAGATTTAGATTTCGTTGGCAATAAGCGAAATTGGATACTGTTCACCACACAATAAACAGTTCCTACTTATAGTTATAGAACGAATCAAGGACAGACTTCGTAATTGTGCATTATTGAGAAAATACCTTATCTCCCATGTGAAAATCCTTCTTTTTTTCTTTTTTGAGGCTAATAATTTTCATTGTGTCTTATTGATGATGTCGTATATTCTCAGTCAGGGTCAGTTGAGAATGATGGGGCGCCTCACTTGTTATTATTCATAGGCCCGTTTGATAGCACATATTTTTCCTGAATTTTTTTCATTTTTCAACTTTTGTAGTGTTTGATAAGCAAAAATTTCCATGGAAAATATTTTCCAACTTTTCAAATTTTCCACATTTTTGAGGAAAATAAATTCTTAATGTTNCCAACTTTCCAAATTTTCCACATTTTTGAGGAAAATAAATTCTTAATATTTTGGTGGGTAAATATTTTCTATTTTTTTTTTTTTTGCAATTGGAAAAAATTCTAGACATAATGGTAAAAACAAATTTCACTTTTATTGACAATTTTTATACAAAACAAAGCCAAAAAAATGGTATTTGGTATGATTATTTTTTTTTTCAAATTTTTTTTTGGCAATTGGAACAAATTCTAGACCCAATAGTAGAAAATATTATCACTTTAATGGACAATTTCCATAAAAAACGAAACCAAACGGAAACCAAACTTTCAACATTTTCTATGAAAAATTATATAAATCAAACACAATTAATTACAATTCCCAATAAAAAAATTTATAGACAAATCAATTCCATGTAAACATTTTCTTTTCACCCATTTTCCACATTTGCAATCAAATGTACCCTTAGAAAAATGTATGGGTGACAATGGGTCTGGTTGTAACCAACCAAGCTCGGTTCGGCTGATTGGATGACCGTGCTTAGACCATTGGTCAACGAGTTGAGTTTAGTCTGGCTCGTTTAATAACAGGGCAAGCTCTCTATTTTACGGCCAAGTTTAGCTAACCAAAAGTCCTCATGTTTTTCAAATACCACATAAAATCAAGCCATAAATATGATAAAAAGCCGTGAAGGTAGACCTAAAAACTAGCCTTGATACTAGGACTCTGGACTCAGTTTGGCTAGCCAAGCTACACCGCTCAGCATTGCCTTAGGCTCGTTTAAAATACGAGCCTCAATAACCCATAGGTTGAGCTTTCACGAGCTAACACATAGCTTGAACCATTGGCACTCCTAGAAAAAATGACAATATTTTCAATGTGTATTTTTTCATTGACTTAGAATGTTATTATGGTAATAACTATAGTTATTCGAAGAATTATACAAGATTTTTGAGGGGTTACGAGAAGTTCAAACTTTTGCTTAGATGTTTTCAGATCAGTAACAAATATTGAGAATTACTACATTTTAACTTCTTATATTTGATCTCAAAGTTTCTCCTATTACGGGAGAAGTTTATTGAAATTTGAAAAAGATCATGATAAATTCTTAACATCCATTTAACATCCATTTGAAAAAGTTTCATAGCCTTAAGTCATGTTTTACCACTCGACTAATCCTATTTAACATCCATTAAAGCAATTTTTTTTTTAAAAATTCATTTTTAGTCACACATTCTCATAATAAAATATTATAAACGTAAATCAAAATTTTTTTTTCTTATACCCCTGTTTGTCTACTATTATTTTAAAACTTTTTTTTCTCAAACTAATTTCCAACCACACATTCTCACAATAAAATATTTTGAACATAAGCCCAAAAAATTTTCTTACTTCTTAACCACATTTTTCAAAAATTCACTATTCCAAAACTCATTTTCTTATTTCAATGGTAGACAAACATGTGCCACTTTTTAATCACAGATTCTTCAAAAAATCATTTTCCAAAAAAAAAAAAAAATCATTTTAACAATTGTCAAATTGCTAGAAGAATTTTTGAGAATTCATTTATGTAAAAGGGTCATTGCTATGGATTGTTCACATCGATATAAATAGTTAATTATATTAAATTTTCTTATGTATGACTCCATAGGTTAATTAAGTATATCGGCAAGCTAAGTAACAAAGGAAATGCTGGGTGTACAAATGTAGGGGTTCACCCCCTACACCCTCTCACATGAGGTGGGTTCCACGCAGGACCACCTCAATGAAAATGTAAAAAAATTATCCCCTTGTGAGTTGTCGGTGGTGGTTCTGTGCCTATACAAATCCCCACCCTATACACCCAACATTTCACAAGTAACAATGCCTTCATTTCTTATAGGTACTACACAAACAATTTGTAATAAACTCATAACTTCACAACGTGTTCCTTTTTTTCATTTAATTATTGGTGGTTTCATAAGTATGAACGTTGTTTATGGATTGATACAAGAAATATTAATAGTAATTTATTCAAAATAATATAAAATAAATTGAAGGAAAAGGAAAGAATACAAGTTGGTCAATGAAAGCATGGTCCACTTCATCATCAAAATCTCTCTCGTATCATATAGGACACCAATAATATCTCTTTGTATCGTAAAAATAAAAATAAAAATAAAAAACTTTATATTGTAATATTTAAAAATTAAAAAACCATTAATTCTTCTCTCTCTCTTTTTTTTTTCCATAACTCAAGGATATAATACGTGCATTTTATATTTACTATCAGTTCTTATCTATAAATATGCTTATAATCGGGTCAATTTCACTTGCGGTCATTAAACTTTTAGCGAAAACTCAATTGGGTAACTATACTTTAATTTCTCTCAACTAAGTTCCTAAACTTTAAATTTACTTTTTTGGACTAGTAAACTTTAATTTAATTTTAAATTTCACCATTCAGCCATCTAATGTGTTCCAAATAAAATAAAGTTGCTTCATTGAGAGTCATACCGTAATTGATCTTTCTCATAATTGGAGTGTGGTATATGGTCGCTAAAATTATGGGATTACGAGAAGTACAATATTTTGCGTAGCCTTTTTTCAAATTAGTGACAAATATTGAGAATTATTTCATTTTAGCTTCTTACATTTGGTCTCAAATTTACTCCCATTACGAGAGAAGTGTATTGAACTTTGAAAAAGATTATGATAATTCTTACTTCAGAGTTGTAAGTCAAAGTACATTTTACCACTCCACTATTTATTTATTCAATTTCAATATTTTAGAGTGTGGTTGAGCCACATTATTTTAGAAGAATGTATTTTGGAATGGTAGATTGATGGAGAATGTGTGGTTGAAAAAGAAGACAAAGTTATTGATATAATGAAAAATATTATTTTATTGAAAAATATATAGTTAAAAATGAGTAGAAGAATGAGAATGAAAAAAATAATGTTGACCAAATAGGGCCTTAATAAATTTATAGGTCACACAATATTTATTGGTCACAATTTATTCTTTATTGGTCACATACCAACCATGGTCACAATCAACAAAACATTTATGACCACCACCAACACAACACCACCGTCGTTTTCACCGCCGCCGCCGCCACCACTACAGAAACACACCACCGCCGCCAATACCAACACCAACACCACCATAACCATCACTTCCCAATTACAAAATCATTGTTTCAAACATCTCATCCAACGTTATCATCACCACTAATACACCAATATCGCCACCGTCGCCACCACTTCCTTCGTGCCCCACCCTAACCCCAATCCACTACACCCACCACCAAAACAATAGGACCCCACCACCAACACCACCCCCCCATCCAGAACCACTTCTCAGCCAAAACAAACAACCATCGCACCACTCTAAAACAACATGACCTCACCACCATCTCCCCGCCAAAACACACAGAACACCGCACCGCACCATGCCAAAACACACATACCACCACAATCGCATCCAAACCGAAAAAAAACCCTCCAGATCGGAACTACCGCACCCAACCCCACCACCACATCCAAAACCGTCGCACACCTCACACAGATCACAAAACTCCACCACCACCGCACACCACCACCACCACCACCACCTGCGCCCGTCGAGGGGCCTACCATTACCACCTCAGCAGTCACAGTCACAGTCGCAGTCGCAGCCGCAGCCGCATCCACACCAATTTCAACCTCCTCCACCTAATTTTCATCAGCACCACCCCTCTGCTCAGCCATTTGTCGCTTTTCGACATCGACGGCGGGGGGAAGAAGAGAGAGAGGTGAGAGATGAGAGAGCAGGAGAAGTGAGAGGCTAGAGATGAGAGAGCAAGAGAGGTTAGAGAGAATGTGATAAATGATTTTTGATTTTTAGGTTTTGGGTAATTATAGTTAGATAGAAATAAATTAATATTTAATATTTAAAATGAAATACCTGATTTTTGTATAAATAAATTTCAAACCTGATTTTTGAATTGAAAATTTTAAAACCAGGGCTAGTTGTAATTTCCTTTTAAAATCATTAGTTTTCCAATTTTATAATGGGTAGCTTAACATGGAGTAGTGCTACATAATTTATAGAAGGAAAATATGGGCCAGAGTATGGGTTTGGGTCACGAGCCCAATTTTCCCAAATAGCATGTATGGGTTAAGCACAGTTGGAGGACGACCACAATCACTTGGACCGTGAGTTAGTGGGTTCGCTATTATTTGGCAACTTGTGTACTCCGATTGTCCGAATTAAGTAGGTTATTATTATTATTATTATTTTGGAACAATTCATATACTATTGTAAATAATATGATTATTAGCAAATGACAATTATACCCATGTAACTCTAGTTATTATTATTATTATTATTATTATATCCCCGATTCTTCCATATAAATATGAGCATTGGTTCTCAATATAATACATACAATTTTATTTACTTCTTTGTTTTCTTCTCTCTACTCCCTAGTTTATAATAAGTTATACGCACAAAATTCTAGCCAATTGAGTTAGCAAAAATTTTTTTTTCTACTTACAAATCTCTAGTTAGGTGAGGAAGAATTTTTTTTCCCTTCAATTAAAAGAAAAAGATACGAAATTCTAGCCAATTGAGTTCATAAATAAA